GTGCAGTGTGGAGTGTAAAGGGTGCAGTGTGAAGTGTGGGGCGTGAAGAGTGCAGTGTGAAGTGTGGAGTGTGAAGTGTGAAGTGTGGAGTGTGAAGTGTGAAGTGTGGAGTGTGCAGTGGGAAGCGTGCAGTGAAGTGTGAAGTGTGGATTGGGAAGAGTGCAGTGAGAAGTGTGGAGTGTGAAGTGTGAAGTGTGCAGTGTGGAGTGTGAAGAGTGCAGTGAGAAGTGTGAAGGGCGAAGTGGAGCTTCAAATGTGACATGTGAAACAGGACACCACTTTCGCAGAGTGCACGCACGCACGGGCTTGGCTGGCGCACGGCGCATGCAAGTTCTATAGATGAGAAAGGTCTTTTATATATCTTTAAGGCAACTTCCGCCCCGCCTCGTGCGGGTACTACTGGTAAGTTTTTGTTAAGGTCCATGTTAGTGAGTAAAACAAGGTTAAAATTGCATGCAACATGTGGGGTCTATGTTATGCCAGTTTTCCATTGTTGTTCATGGTATCCTCAGGGTCTATGTTATCCACACTTTTTGACCTGCAGGTTTTTTTTTTACATGTTTTTACAAGAAAAGATAGACCCTGGATCAGCAAATTTGCTCACCGGGGTCTACGTTTAAACGTAGGTATCAAGCAATTAGGGTCTACGTTTGTTTTCGTTAGAGCAAAACATATAATATAATTATTGCAATATGGTAAACCTGGAACACATATTACCAGTAATTAGTAGTACCTTGGCGGAAGTTTCAGAAATAGGAAACCTATAGGAGAGGTTGGTTGTTGTGAATCACGGATGGCAGAGCGAATCCACTGATGGACCGAAAGGTGGTTGGAGTTTTGTTTTTTGGGGTGGTTGCAATGGTTGCAGTGGTCACTTCACCCACAACTGCTGGAGGTAGTGTGGTGTAGTGCAGTTGTAGCTGTAGTTGTAGTGTAGTGGAGTTTTAGTTGTAGTTGTAGTGTAGTGTAATTATTGTTGTTGTAGTAGTTGTAGTTGTAGTTGTAGTTGTTGTTGTTGTTGCTGCTGTTGTTGTTGTCGTTGTATTTGCAGTTGCAGTTGTATTTGTATTTGTAATGTAGTGTGCTGCAATTAGCGTAGTGTAGAGTAGTGTAGTTGTAGCTGTAGCTGTAGTTGTAGTTGACTTCCTCAGTTTTTGAACTTGACAACATCAAAAATGCAGCAATTCTGCGAGACTTCCTCGATTTTTGAACTTGACAACGTCAAAACGACACAAGTTTGCGAGACTTCCTCAATTTTCGAAATTGACAACATCAAAAACGAAGCAATTCTGCGAGACTTCCTTCAAGAATGGAAAGTTGAGTGCAGAGCTGACAGCCTCGTACCAATGTGTTTTGCGATTTTTCCATTTCACCTGTCTAAAGTACTGCGCGTGCCACGAAAAAGTGATGCCAGGTCGTACGAAGTGCTGAACCTGTCAAGCAAAATCATCTTCCCAAAACTGAAGATCTGAGCCACGGAAAATGCATCTTTGCAGATCCTCTGCCAATGTCCCACGCCTGCCATCATTTTTTGGACATGCTACAAAACCCTCCATTTTCGCTCACTTTTGGCAAGGTACAGAATCCCTTACGTAAAACCACATCTGAACCTTCAAAAGTGTTCCGGGCATGTGGCGCTTTTAACATTTTGACTTTGAAATGTGCTTCGCACCACAACGGCGTGCATTTTGAACATCTCAACTTCCAAAAGTGCGTGCACTTTTTCAACATCTCAACTTCCAAAACTGCTCCGAACCCCTCAGTTTTTAACACTTTTTACTTCCAAATGTGCTTCGCGACACAACGCCGTGCACGGTTTGGACATCTCAACTTCCAAAAGTGGTCCGATGTTGGTGTGCTTTGCGCATTTTGACTTCGAAATGTGCTTCGCGCCACAACGGCGTGCAATTTTTCATCTCTCATCTGGCCAGATGGCTCCGCACCCGCCGGTTTAGCGAGCCTACTTTTCGACCTTCAGGAGCCACAAATCATTGGAAAAACACAGTGTTTCGCGACTTTCCTACCTTTTCGCGCACCTGGATCTTCTTTCTTCTGAGACTTTCTCTTTTTTGATCTTTCTTCTTCTCTTCTCTTCTCTGACTCTTCTCACCTCTGCTTTTTCATCTCTCCATATGTTCGGAAGTTTGACTTCTAAACTTCCTTCGATTATCAATTGTCCCCTCTGTGGAAAATATCTGGTAAAACGATCTAGAAACGGATAGAATCTATATAGTGGATATGTTCCAGTGCCAGGTAAGATCACTAAAGCCATGCAGGTTTCCTGCCCTCCAGTCTAATGAGGATAATTGTTTGGGACTTACAGTAATTTCAGAACCGTCTCGGAATCAACACTCTTAGGGCCAGACCATTCTCATGTAATTTTTGGCTAGAGATGCTCTAGAACAACAAAGCGATGTGCGTTGACCTGTATAGCTTCTGGTTAATGCTTTAATTTCATGCTGCAAGTCCACGTAGCCTTGCCGAGTGGAAAGCAGAAAAGCATTGCCATTGCAGAGTCCTCCAAAGCTGGGGACTTGAAACGTTTGGCGCAGAGGTCGTTTGAACAAGGCTTCCTCAGCTTTGTCACTGCAGAGGGGCATGTCCTGGCTGATCCAAACCAGTCCCTCCAAGCTGCTGGGCTCCAAGAGGGAGATTACCTGACAGCCATTGTGCAACAAGCAAAGATGGCAGCAACACGACGAGCTTTTGCCATGTGGTGCTATGGAGGTGACAGGGTCGTGACCTGGGGCGATCGTAATTCTGGTGGTGACAGCTCTGCGGTGCAAGGTCAGCTCAGGAATGTGCAGCAGGTTCAGGCCGCAGATCGTGCATTTGCTGCAATCCTGGCAGATGGATCTGTCGTTTCGTGGGGCGACCCAGAAGATGGTGGTGACACCACTGCAGAGGAGCAAGATGAGCTGCGAAATGTGCAGCAGGTTCAGGCCACAGAAAGTGCATTTGATCTGATCCGCCTTACCTGGGGCCACCCAGATTTTGGTGGTGACAGTTCTGCGGTGCAAGATCAGCTCAGGAGTGTGCAGCAGGTTCAGGCCACAGATAGTGCATTTGCTGCCATCCTGGCAGATGGATCTGTCGTTACCTGGGGTGACCCAGATTTTGGTGGTGACACTTCTGCGGTGCAAGATCAGCTCAGGAGTGTGAAGCAGGTTCAGGGCACACAAGCTGCATTTGCTGCCATCTTGGCAGATGGATCTGTTGTTACTTGGGGTCTCCCAGAATATGGTGGTGACAGCTCGGCGGTGCAAGATCAGCTCAGGAATGTGCAGCAGGTTCAGGCCACACAAGCTGCATTTGCTGCCATCTTGGCAGATGGATCTGTCACTACCTGGGGCCACCCAGGCTGCGGTGGTGACAGCTCTGCGGTGCAAGATCAGCTCAGGAATGTGCAGCAGGTTCAGGCCGCAGATCGTGCATTTGCTGCAATCCTGGCAGATGGATCTGTCGTTACTTGGGGGAACCCAAAACATGGTGGCGACAAATCTGCGGTGCAAGATCAGCTCAGGAATGTGCAGCAGGTTCAGGCCACAGGTAGTGCATTTGCTGCGATCCTGGCAGATGGATCGGTTGTGGCTTGGGGCAATCCTGATTGTGGTGGTGACAGCTCTGCGGTCCAAGATCAGCTGAAGCACGTGCAGCAGGTTCAGGCGACAGGTAGTGCATTTGCTGCCATCCTGGCAGATGGATCGGTCGTTGCGTGGGGCAATCCACATGAAGGTGGCGACTGCTCTGCAGTCCAAGATCAGCTGAAGCACGTGCAGCAGGTTCAGGCCACAGGCAGTGCATTTGCTGCCATCCTGGCAGATGGGTCGGTCGTTGCGTGGGGCAATCCACATGAAGGTGGCGACTGCTCTGCAGTCCAAGATCAACTTTTATGTGTGTAGAAAAATGCAAAGCAAAGCTGCGGCCATGTCTCCACTCTGACGGTGTGGATGCTAGGTGTCAATCGGTCTTCTTCAGAGCTGGCAAACTCGAAGATTTGTCTTTGTCAAAAAGAGTTTGGTTTGAAGATTCAGTCCGCTGGAAAATGGACGTGCCATGATCTGTGTCGAAAGGGACCTGCAAATTCACCACGTTATATCCTGCCATGATCAATTTCAGCAGTCGAAGCTGATGCATGGTATTTTCTATTTTGAGACATGCGATTTTGAGAACGAAGCAAAATAAAGTGGTTAAAAACTAACTTTGCCTATAGCTTTCCAAGGGGGTAAGTTGAACGTTATTGTATCCGCATTTTTGCTTTGGCTGGGGAGACACAACCGTTTGCGCATATTTTGGTCAGGGGAAACTGGGGTGCTGCATTCATGAGCTCTATCAATCTAAATTTCAATTCTTTGGTGGTTGTCACATTAGATCCCAAGTTTGTTGCAACTATCAGTCTGGCGATCTAAAGCTGTGGAACAACACATAAATTTGTTTTTTTTAATGATGTATGTGTACTTTTACATGTACTTTACTATATGCAGTACTTCCAAATTACCCAGCGTATATCTCTACACTACAACATGGCTCTAGTTCTGTTTGTTGGCTTATAACCCGGTCCCACTATAGATGGATCTGCTACAAACCATGGTAAACAGCTATATACTCATTTGCACCAGCTCACATCGATCAGTGTTGCTTAAATACCAACTATATCCAACATCACTCCCCGTTTTTGCTGATTAAACCCAATGTTTAGATGTGTTTAGTACCTGTCGAACTTGGTGATATACCTAGTCCGATTTCTGTCGGTAAACTCCCAGCTTTTGATGTTTGAACCCAGGTAAACTTCCAACTTTGTACTTAGATCCCACGGTAAAACCACCAACTACCATAAACCCAAGCAGTTCTTGAACTTAGCTTCAATAAAAAGTCCTGAAATCCCATGAGCTCACCATCTTGATCCATTGATATCCATTGCTTGGCAAACTCAGTAAGCTCCCAACTTGTCACGGGAAGTCCCATGGTTTTTCCAATGGAAATCGGTGCCACGGCGCCAGGATACATCAACCTGGGCCGTGTGGAGGACCTCGGCTCCGCGGACCCTGCGGAGCGCTCGGTGGAGGCCATGCAGCGCAGGGCCTGGGAGGTCTTGGACGAAGCCTGGCGCCTGGGGCTTCGCTACTTCGAGCCTTGGAAGCGGGCGAAGGTGGCGAAGGTGGAGATTGGAGATGGGACGAAGCTGTATAGAGCTGTTGTAGAGCTGATGTTTTTCGATGCTCATGGAATCTTAATGAGATTTTGATGGGATTCTAATGCTTTATGGGATTTTCATGGGATTTACGATCAAGAATGGGCATGATGGTGACATTTGATGGTGGATTTGGTCATCGCGGGATTTCACCAAGCTTTTTATGGGGAGATCATGGTGAGAAAAACTGGCGATCGTTGACCAAACACAATTAGGGGCAACTTGGGGGTTAAGATCTAATGGGATTTTAGGGATGTTTTTGTTTCGTGATATAATGGGATATAATCATTCAGAATGTCTGAAATGGGATGTTGAATGCCTGGGTATTTGCGTCTGTCTGAAAATAGGGTATACCATTCAAAGAGCCATTAAACAAATGTGATGAACCATTGGATTTTGGGCTATCCTAGCGCTATCCTATTTTCACACACATCCAAATTGGTTGTAGATGGTCCTAGAACCCAAATGATAGATTGATTGGATGGGACGATCTCAACAATTAAGTGGTTAATGTTACCCGTTCATACCTGTTCTATCTTCTTGGGGTTTCATAGATTACTTGATTTAGTGGATCTGTGGCTGACTATTTGGGGAAATATCACCAGCCTGTCGCAAGTCGGCAACAAGCATCTTATTAGCCAGTTATGTATGGAATATCCCCATACATGGCTATTTGCTATTGTATAGGCTGTATGCAATGATATGCGTATATGCATCACACACACATATATACATTTATACATGTGTGTGTATGTGTGTGTATTATATAATGGGTCATAAGATTTTATAAGCACGTAACAAATGGGATGCACGTTCAAGTATACATTAATACAAATCCAGGGTTTCAGGGCTCAGAGTTGATCAGCTAGTTAAGACAACAATTGGTAAACGCCTGTGTGTGTCTCCCATAGCTATTTTGAGGGGCTCCCACGTTGAGATTTCCAAATCTGCTGTTGTTCCCCCCCTAAATGGCCATATCATGCCATATCCAACAGGAAAATCCTCTTCCAGAAGCATTTTGTTAGGAGATGTGTGGCAAAATTAAAATCGGCTCCTCTATTTCAATGTGTTTCGACTAGTAAGGATTTATGTATCCAGGATATTTGGATTCCGTTGCTGGGATGGATGACCATACCCAATTTGATCCCATTTGACCAATCCGCCATGATTTCCGAAGAATCTCACCATCTGTTTGATGGTTTATGCTCATAGACACCTAAAGTTGATGGTTCCTCCCATGAAATTCCAAGTCACCTGGTTATTTTGACTCACTTGGCATGCCGTCTACCCTGGTGCTGGGTGCTGCTGAGGATTGCGCGCGAAGTTACGGCCACAGCGAGGAATTTCTGGGCGCTTGGTTGAGGCAGAAAGAGCTGCTGAAGGAGGACGTAGCGGTGGGATCCAAGCGCCTCGGCTGCACTGGTCGTGGGTATCCACAAGGTTGCCAGTTAACTAAGCCAGTTGCTAAGTAGTTAACTATAGTTAACTTATAAGCCTTAAAAAGCCATTGAACTGGAGTATGATTCATACCTTCAGTCTCAATGTGCCCAAGCTGGACACATCCTGGTGGCTTTTCGGGTGCTAGATGGGGGGTATTGGATCTATATGAGTCACATTTTGGACTATTTGTGAATTTGATGTTCCATTTCATGCAAATGGACCAAACAGAGATAAATAAATGTATATTGATAGGTTTTCCCTAATTTGGATGCGATTTTTCCAGTGGGTACCGGATAAGGGCAGATCTTCCAAAACGCATGTAGATATCTCATGATATCTCTACCATAAACCATTGTTAACCTTGTTAAAGCCATGGAACTTTTAGTGTCCCCCTGACTGATGGTACCCCCACTTGGCTGATTTCTCGAAATTCGAGGTGGGGCTATCGCTACACCGCAGATTGGCGAGTGGACACAGCTGGCGAGCCTCATGAAGTGAAACTGGTTCATCGCTTTAGCATCGTTTCAGACATGGCTGTGGATCAAAATGGATCAAAACTCATGGAATCCCCTTCTGTTCACAGCAAAACATGTGGGATTCATGGATGTTCAACCCCCAAATATGTTGAACTCACCATTCAACATCCCATTTTTAGTCTCCCTTTTGGATGGTAAAATATACTATTGGTTACATCCCATGGTAATTTGACCCATCCTCAAAAGAATCCACCTTTCCTTCCTTGGATCCACCCATCCCAGAGTTGCTTGGAATCGGCACAAGTTTTGGGTGTTATATCAGTTACCCTCTAGTTATGACTAGCATAGCCATGGAAAATCACCAATTTTAATAGGTAAACCATCTATAAATGGGCCCGTTTCCATGGCTATGTTAAATAACCAGAGGGTAAATCAGTTATATCTAGGCTTCATTTGGCATTGTAATGCATCTTCCCGATGCTTTGCTGCTGAAAATTGATGGAGAACGCCCAGAGCTGGCGCCCAGGAAAGATCATTCACTTGCGCATTTGGAAAGTCAGGAGAAGGAGACTCAAAGCTTTTTGGGCCACTCGAAAGCGACCAGGTTCTTGATCACTGATGGTGAAAGCCCCGGGAATCGATGGTTTGTTCAGTTCGGTAAGATAAGATTGCAGGTTAATCCAATTGTAACTGGGGTGCCATTGTTTTCTGTATTTTGTAGTGTGGGATGTAAAGATGCTCGGACCCCCCCAGAGCCAGGAAGATTGCCCTGAGAGTTCGCACCGATCTCCAAATATATATATATATATATGGAAAGGAACAAGATGTTTGATCATGGGTTTTGGTTATGCACCCATTATGAACCAAGTTTATCCAAGTTTATTAGATGGTGAATTAAATCATGTTACATCCCCATTCACCTGTGACTAAGTACCCACCTGCGTAGTTGAGGAAATGCTGTGCTGGTAATCCCGGCACCCCAGCCCTAGAGGTGATCACCTTCGGCTGTATCAGATTCATTCTGCAACCCTGGAGAGTGGAGTCCTGGAGCGCCTCGCAATGCAACGCTGCTGGGCTGGTGGTTGACCAACATCAATTCACCATACAGATTTTGAACCAACATCAGGATAAACTTGATATGTAATCTGGTTGGTGGTTTGGAACATGTTATTCATTTTCCATTTCATATATGGGATGTCATCCTTCCCATTGACGAACTCATATTTTTCAGAGGGGTTAAAACATGTTAAAACCACCAAGCAGTAATAGGTATGTCACCTAAAACCATCCAAAACCCATAATCTGGTTGGTGCTTCTGATGTTCACCCATATTTAGGAGGAGGATCCCCAATGACTGTCCTATCACGGGGTGGCTCAGTGAATTGACCCGCACCCACCAGCAAGAGGAACAGTTGAGTTTAAGTGTGTTTAAGCAGCAAACAATGGTTGGCTGACAAAAAACTTGGATTTCACTGGCTGAACAAGCCCAATGAACGATGGAAGGTTTCAGGTTTCTCTTTTTTGTTGGCGCATTTGCGCACTGAAAAGGCCACGGAACCTCACACCCAGCCATTGGGCCGTGGGTGCCACAGATGATCACATCATGCAGATGTGGCCCACGGAAATGGGGTTCAGCCACAGAAAGGAATCCAATGCCCACACGAAGGGTCCCTGAAGTGTCGAGAATTTCCCAATGACCGAAGGAGTTTGGCAGCCACCAGCAAGATGCAATGTGATGCAAGATGCAACCCTTTGACATGCCCAACATGGTAGTTAGACATGGCCCTGCAGCTTTGATGAGAGGCATGGACCAATGAACTATGTATGTTCTGTACCCGGGACATGCATCCAGCTGGAGGAGATTGTAGTATTGTTTAGTTTTGTCCTAGTGGTTTTCTTGGAATCAATAGTTTCGGACCGTGCTGCTTTTGGCTCGAGATGTTCAAGAACGTGATGACGTAAAAGCTGGAGTTTTTGCTTGTTGCTTCAATGTTGCAAGTTTACGTAGCTTTGCCGAGTGGAAAACGGAAAAGCCTGTCCATTGCAGAGTCCTCCAAAGCTGGGGACTTGAAACGTTTGGCGCAGAAGTCGTTTGAACAAGGCTTCCTCAGGCTTGTCACTGCAGAGGGGCACGTCCTGGCTGATCCAAACCAGTCCCTCCAAGGTGCTGGACTCCAAGAGGGAGATCACCTGACAGCCATTGTGCAACAAGCAAAGATGGCGGCAACGGAGGAAGCATTTGCCATGTGGTGCTGTGGCAGTGGGGGCGACAGGATCGTTACCTGGGGCAGGCCAGATCGTGGCGGTGACAGCTCTGCGGTCCAAGATCAGCTCAGGAATGTGCAGCAGGTTCAGGCCACAGATCGTGCATTCGCTGCGATCCTGACAGATGGATCTGTCGTTACATGGGGTGACCCAGATTATGGTGGTGACAGCTCTGCCGTCCAAGATCAGCTCAGGAATGTGCAGCAGGTTCAGGCCACAGGCTTTGCATGTGCTGCGATCCTGACAGATGGATCTGTCGTTACTTGGGGGAGCCCAGGAGATGGTGGTGACAGCTCTGCGGTGCAAGATCAGCTGAGGAATGTGCAACAGGTTCAGGCCACATGGGATGCATTTGCTGCGATCCTGGCAGATGGATCTGTGGTTACGTGGGGAAACCCAGAGTGCGGTGGAGACAGCTCTGCAGCCAGAGATCAGCTCAGGAATGCGCAGCAGGTTCAGGCCACAAGTAATGCTTTTGCTGCGATCCTGGCAGATGGATCTGTCGTTTCGTGGGGCAACCCGGAAGATGGTGGTGACAGCTCTGCAGCCAAAGATCAGCTCAGGAATGTGCAGCAGGTTCAGGCCACAGGTGGTGCATTTGCTGCGATCCTGGCAGATGGATCTGTCGTTACATGGGGTGACCCAGATTATGGTGGTGACAGCTCTGCCGTCCAAGATCAGCTCAGGAATGTGCAGCAGGTTCAGGCCACATGGGATGCATTTGCTGCGATCCTGGCAGATGGATCCGTGGTTACGTGGGGAAACCCAGAGTGCGGTGGAGACAGCTCTGCAGCCAGAGATCAGCTCAGGAATGCGCAGCAGGTTCAGGCCACAAGTAGTGCTTTTGCTGCGATCCTGGCAGATGGATCTGTCGTTTCGTGGGGCAACCCGGAAGATGGTGGTGACAGCTCTGCAGCCAAAGATCAGCTCAGGAATGTGCAGCAGGTTCAGGCCACAGGTGGTGCATTTGCTGCGATCCTGGCAGATGGATCTGTCGTTACATGGGGTGACCCAGATTATGGTGGTGACAGCTCTGCCGTCCAAGATCAGCTCAGGAATGTGCAGCAGGTTCAGGCCACAGGCTTTGCATGTGCTGCGATCCTGACAGATGGATCTGTCGTTACTTGGGGGAGCCCAGGATATGGTGGTGACAGCTCTGCGGTGCAAGATCAGCTGAGGAATGTGCAACAGGTTCAGGCCACAGGTAGTGCATTTGCTGCGATCCTGGCAGATGGATCCGTCGTTACTTGGGGCAGTTCACATACCGGTGGTGACAGGTCTGCGGTCGAAGATATGTTTGCACATGTTTAGCTAATGTCAAAGTGTCTCTGCCGACTGAGCTTTTTGTGACAGTTTTCTTTTGTGGCCCGATAGGATGGCAGGAGTCAATTCAGAGCTGGCAATCTCGATGATTTGGCTTCTGCAAAAGAAACGGGCTCAAAGCAGTTGAAGTGCTGTTGAATATGAGTGTCTCTGAAAATGGGGTATACTATGGTAATTATCTGGTTGGTGGTTTGCAACAAATTTATTTTCCATAAATTGGGAAAAATCATCCCAACTGACTAATATTTCAGAGGGGTTGAAACCACCAACCAGTTATACTGTTTAACAGCTGTGATTACTGTAACTCGTGGTTTGAGGTACCCAAGACAAACCCAAACCTGGATGTGTTCAGAGGGGTCGGGGCATCCACCAGTTCAGATAATGCTATGACATGCTATGACCTATTTCTGGGATCAAAAGCTGAAGAATTCACGTTTGGAGAGCTTCAAGCAGCCAAAAGAAGTTGGATGGATCTTAGCAAAAGTATTAAACTTGTGAGGTAAAATGCAAATTGTTATGGGTACTTGGAGGGTCTAGGTCTTATTTTGATTTATGCGATTGAAAACGAAATGGTCAACAAACCAACTCTATGTTTCAACGTGCGCACTGCTCGCTCCAGTTGAGCTTACTGTCGACTGTACTTGGCTGTGGAGACCCAAGATTTCAGTAAATACACTCCTATCATCAAACATGGCGAGCTGGGAAACCCTTTCTTTAAATATGAATTCAAGCGGGAAAACCACCTGACTAAACGGTTTCTAGCCATGTTTGATTTCCAGAGAGTACATTTACCGTATTCTCCGAGAAACTTGGGTGCCCTGAAGTCCAAGGGAACCCTTACTCCATCTGCACTTAACTACTGCATATGGGGGTTTCTGAATCAGGTGTTCATGCGTTATTTTCTGATCATAAGATATCATAAGCTGGAAAGTGTGCACAAAAAACACTTAAGCTGTTGATTGAGGGATGTCTAACTACGTTTTTTTGATCGTGTCGATCTCCCAACAGCCTCCTGGTACCGTTCATGGTTGCTTGATGGTGATCCCAGAGGACACATCATCTTTTTGGACCGTCTTCCCGGTATTTGTTGGTTGATGTTCCTATTCACTGGCTTGGGGACCACGGAGAATATGTCATTTTCATAGGAAACCACGGATTGAACATCCATGCAAACATGGGTTTTCCCATGTTTGTCCTGCAAAATGTCCTTCAAACCAAGTCAGTTCTGCGATATGGCTGCTGAAAATCTTGCATACCCTGCTGAAGACCAAAATAGTCGTTTGGTTGTATGGAGTTCATGCCCAAAACATGGTACGCTAGGTTTTGACCCATCCGCATATTTTCGTTGGTTGATACTCCCATTGTTTCGCATGTCACACTTTTTCGTCGCCACTGCATTAATGACTGCCTTCACCCAGGAACCAGGAGGTGTTGAACAGGCTAAAGGCCCTGCGCGAAGAGAAGGGCTGGAAGATTGGACTAAGTCTGTCGGGAGTTGGTCAATCAAAGGCTTTGGCCAAAGCTTTGCAGACAGGTCCCTTGACATGGAAAATGGTGAAACAATGGGCCATGGCATACCCCTCAAATGACCGGAAAGGTTTCTGGCTTTGTAAGGTGATCTTGAGGTTTCCAAATACTCCAATTGGGGGAATCTCTAGAGCATGTTTTTTTTGGTCCGCCGCGCTTAACCAATTTAAGGGTTTAGGACAGGTTGCTTGACATGGAAACATGGTGAAAAATGTGTCCCTGAAACCATCGGATGTCTCTGACATGGCTGGGAAAGTGATGATTTTTATGGTTGGAGCATGGGGGGTACCTAATTCTCAGGTCATATGACGTGGAGAAATCATGGGGTTTGGGTCAGGATTCATGACCTGAGTAAAATAAGAAGGATATCTTGAGAAATCCGAAGATCGCTGAGATGAGTGGAAAGCGCTGTGCTGAAATGATGTGAATGTGGCCCGAAGAGTCCCAGAAATAGAAGCCTCAAAAGTTCCATCATTAGATGCTGGGCCATGGGCTGCAACGCAGGTGTCAACATATTGAAGCTCTTTTGGGGTTGGAGACACATGGAAGTGTTATGATTGTGGTTCCCAATGTGAACCTCTGGGTGGCGGTGTCCCAATGGATATGCTTTTTCAACAGGGTTTGATATGGTTTCAATGGATATGGATTTGATCTTGGCTTCGTTGTTCTGATATTTTTCCTCCATTTTACCACCAGCAGAGGCATGCTTGTAGAAGCTTCAGAGTGGAATGTGTTCGTTCTCCCTCTCCCTCTCTCCCTCTCTCCCTCCCTCTCTCTCTCTCTCTCTCTCTCTCTCTCCTCTCTCTCTCTCTCTCTCTCTCCCTCTCTCTCCCCTCCTCCTCCCCTCCCCTCCCCTCCCCTCCGCTCCCTCCCCTCCCCTCCCTCCCTCCCCTCCCCGCTACCTCCACGCCGGTCCCGGCGGACCCTCCACCTAGGAAAACCCCTCCGCCCTCCGGCCGTCTTTCCCGGTTTTGGTTTTGGTAGCGGTCCCTCCACAGAAGGCGCTGGAGGCCCGTTGAAAAAAAAGCGTGCGCGACAAATGCTACGGACCACCAATACAGAGGGACGAAGGCTGCAATCAGAGAGGAGACACAACGGCAGGACGTCCCCCTCGCAGGGGAGCCCCTCAGGTGTTCACCCAAAGATGTAGAGGCCCCTCCCTTTGCCCGCCGGCCTGGCTGTGCTAGCGGTTGGGGTCACTGGCTAAAACAGGAAAAAAAAATGGCGCGATCTCGTCATTCAAGTGCCTCGGTGCAGTGGCCAGGGATCGCCTCTCCTCTTCTCTCATCTGCTATGTCATCGGATCGCTCAGCTCTCTCTCTCTCTGTTCACATGCAATGCGCCGTTGACATTACTGCTACACCGTATTGATGTTAATTTCCCACTACTGATATCATTTGATATCCAAATCCACATGACCACAACCCCCGGCAAAAAAAATCGTCAGAGCCGCATAGCCATGCGCCATGCTAGGCGTCTTTGACTCAGTCCAAGCAACATGGAACTTGATGGAACAGTCGCTGGGCACAGGGAGAGATTCTGGAGTTGCTGTATCCTTCATAGTAACCAAGCATGGCAATGGAAGATCCTTTCCTTTCTGTGAAATTCATGTGAGTGTATAACATACCCTCTGGTTATTTAACATAGCCATGGAACATCACCATGTTTTATAGGTAAACCATCTATAAACGTGCCATTTTCCATGGCTATGTTAAATAACCAGAAGGTATGTTATACATGTATGATCCAGAATCCAGATGTGGGATTTCCAGTGCCAGCTATGGTAACATGGAATCCCAACGAATCGTTTGAGAAGGAGATTTTCCGGTTGTATACATGTTGCGAACTCGCGCTTGAGTTTGATGGTACAACCTTTTTTGGAGCTGGTTTCAGAGAATTCTCCATGTCTCGACTAGACTAACCTGGAAGGTGAAGGCATAAATGCCCTTCACAGCACCAAGTGACTGGCTGGATTTGTCCGGATCTCTTCGGTGCTGTGAATCTCAACCAGTAAAGGACACTCTGGACGATGGAGTATTTGGCTCGATCATGCGGGTTGGTAAATGATGTATGTACAGGATTTCCATGGATGTCCCACTTCATCCCATATCCATATATAATCATATCATATTTATATATATATAATGCTTTTTAAGTATTGAGGACGGTAAAGCCGAACCATCATTGATGAGTTGTATCCACTTTATCCCCATGATTTGATGGTTGAACACGATACTAAATGTTCTTCGATGATTTGAACACGACTATTTTGATCAATTATCAGGGGAGTTCCAGCCATTCCTCGGATGTCTTCAACCTATCCATCTGTGGACCTTTTGGGCCATGGCCCAGAGGGGGCTCAAGGTGTTCAAGATGTTCTAGGTCAACAAAGCGGGTGTCTCCGTTGTGCCAAGTCTTTGCACTTTAATGTTGCAAGTTGACGTAGCCTTGCCGAGTGGAAAGCGGAAAAGCCTGTCCATCGCAGAGTCCTCCAAAGCTGGGGACTTGAAACGTTTGGCGCAGAAGTCGTTTGAACAAGGCTTCCTCAGGCTTGTCACTGCAGAGGGGCACGTCCTGGCTGATCCAAACCAGTCCCTCCAAGCTGCTGGGCTCCAAGGGGGAGATCACCTCACAGCCATTGTGCAACAAGCAAAGATGGCAGCAACACGACGAGCTTTTGCCATGTGGTGATGCAGAGGTGACAGGATGGTGACCTGGGGCAATCCTGATTATGGTGGTGACAGCTCTGAAGTTCAAGATCAGCTCAGGAATGTGAAGCAGATTCAGGCCACATGGGGTGCATTTGCTGCGATCCTGGCAGATGGATCTGTCGTTACTTGGGGCAACCCACTTTATGGTGGTGACAGCTCTGCGGTGCAAGATCAGCTGAGGAGTGCGCAGCAGGTTCAGGCCACAGGTGGTGCATTTGCTGCGATCCTGGCAGATGGATCTGTCGTTGCCTGGGGCAGGCCAGATTGTGGCGGTGACAGCTCTGCGGTGCAAGATCGGCTCAGGAATGTGCAGCAGGTTCAGGCCACACGAACTGCATTTGCTTCCATCTTGGTAGATGGATCTGTCGTTACGTGGGGTGAACCAGAGTGGGGTGGTGACAGCTCTGCGGTGCAAGATCAGCTCAGGAATGTGCAGCAGGTTCAGGCCACAGGTAGTGCATTTGCTGCGATCCTGGCAGATGGATCCGTCGTTACTTGGGGCAACCCACTTTATGGTGGTGACAGCTCTGAAGTTCAAGATCAGCTCAGGAATGTGCGGCAGGTTCAGGCCACAGGTAGTGCATTTGCTGCAATCCTGGCAGATGGATCTGTCGTGACTTGGGGAGTTGCTGGGATCCTGGCAGATGGATCTGTCGTTACCTATGGCGGTGACACCTTTAAGGTCCAAGATCAGCTCAGGAATGTGCAGCAGGTTCAGGCCACAGGTAGTGCATTTGCTGCGATCCTGGCAGATGGATCTGTCGTTACTTGGGGGAACCCAAAACATGGTGGCGACAGCTCTGCCGTCCAAGATCAGCTTCGGAATGCGCAGCAGGTTCAGGCCACACAAGCTGCATTTGCTGCCATCTTGGCAGATGGATCTGTCGTTACTTGGGGGAGCCAAAAAATGGTGGTGACAGCTCTGCCGTCCAAGATCAGCTCAGGAATGTGCAGCAGGTTCAGGCCACACAAGCTGCATTTGCTGCCATCTTGGCAGATGGATCTGTCGTTACTTGGGGTGACCCAGAAGATGGTGGTGATAGCTCTGCCATTCAGGATCAACTTAGGCATTTGTAGCCAATGCTGCCACCACTGACCACGTCTCCACTTCAATGAGGTATAAAAAAGCACGTGCTGTAACGTGCCTTATTGTCTCTTGCTCCGACCTTTCAAAAGAAACCCTGTTTAGTGTTAGAGTGCATTTAGTCTATTTTTGAATTGGGTTCCAAGGATTGGTATTTCCAATATTTGGAGGAATGGGATTTGATCCGCAGCTTCCAGTTTCCCTCCTGGATGGCCATACCCTCTGGTTTCGTACGGTTTTTTAGGTGTATTGAAGGTAGTGATGTATGATACTAAACCATATATATATATATAGAATATAATATAATGATGATTCTGAATCATATTTTGATATTGAAGTGATGTATTTAACCCTATTTAACTGCAGGGTTCTTGCTCCCACCACCAAAGATGATTCAATGTCAAGGGGGCCATGCTCAGGTCATGCGGGGCAACGTTGAAGGAGGCGCATGATGCGGGCTTGGAAGTCATCATCAAGGAAGGTATGGCCAATGGCAGGCACCGTGGTGCTGGCCGTGACGCCGGGCGAACGGGCTGAAGTCGTGGTTTTGCCTTCAGTTGATTTACGGGAGTTCATTTTTAGGGAATTTTGTGGATTTTATTTTTATTTTCTTGGAATATCACCAACAACTATGGGTAATGGGTGTGTTTGATAATGGGATGTGCCCTCCATGACCATGTTACTACAACGATAATTTGTGATCCATTGGGATTGGAAGTACCTTATTTTCAGTCAACCCCATATTACCAAACGAGAACCGGGTGGAGAATTGGATTTGCTTCATGATCTGGGAGTCCATAGAAGGGGAGCTTTTGAGATTATGGGAGAAGGGATGCCTGAAAATTAGGCAAAGAACCGTGGTTGCCATTTCGCTTATTGGTGGATCGAAGTGCGATACTGCCAGAGAGCTTTTTTTGAAATCTTCACCGTTCTTATGGCTCTGTGGAACTTGGAATGGAAAATCAATGTCTTTCCCCTTTTTCACTGTTTCCATGTTTCCCAATATATAGTTGCGGTCACATCCACTTAGCATAGTTTTCACTAGTTATCGCACCACCCCCCATCCTTCAATTGACTGTTTTGCAGTGTTGCCATTGTTTGTGTTTACCCTGATGATTGGGTGACGACAGAGTGGGTAAACAAACTAACCAACCCAGTATAGCCATTTCCAAGAAGAGAGACAAGTGAATCACAAATGAGTGGAGACGATTCATGTTATATATTTTTGGTGTTTGCTATAATGAATATAATATAAATATAAGCGTCACATGTAAGTTTTTGCTTACGCCCCGAAAACCGTACGAGTAAAACGCACATTTTTGAATATCGCTATGTTGGGGTGGGGTGGGGTGGGGGGGTGGGGGATGTTCACGTACCTTGTACTTCGTACATGATCCATTGCTACGCTGCTGAGATCTCTGGGATCGTTTACTACGTTACATGTTGCTACGATGCTGATGGGGTGGGGTGGGGGGTTGGGGGATGTTCACGTACCTTGTACTTCGTACATGATCCATTGCTACGCTGCTGAGATCTCTGGGATCGTTTACTACGTTACATGTTGCTACGCTGCTGATGGGGTGGGGTGGGGGGGTGGGGGATGTTCACGTACCTTGTACTTCGTACATGATCCATTGCTACGCTGCTGAGATCTCTGGGATCGTTTACTACGTCACATGTTGCTACGCTGCTGAGATCTCTGGGATCGTTTACTACGTTACATGTTGCTACGCTGCTGATGGGGTGGGGTGGGGGGGTGGGGGATGTTCACGTACCTTGTACTTCGTACATGATCCATTGCTACGCTGCTGAGATCTCTGGGATCGTTTACTACGTCACATGTTGCTACGCTGCTGATGGGGTGGGGTGGGGGGGTGGGGGATGTTCACGTACCTTGTACTTCGTACATGATCCATTGGTTTTTCACATAAGATGTCACCGCTTCCGTTCCAGGCGCTTAGAAAGCTTTGTCTGTGGGATCTGGGCCACGCCCGAGTGAAACGTGGAGGAAAACCTCCCCCGGAGAGTTGGGGGAAATCGAAGAAAGTGGAGCTTGTGAAGTTGTTGTTCCCACAACTGATCGTTGTCGCTCCGTTCTTCTTACTGACGGTGCTCGTTGCTACAAAAGAATGTCCTCAACCTTGAACCTTCTTCATGGTGTGGTGAACCATTCAGCTGGCCAGTTTACTGGTGAACTGAGATGAGGACGAGAGGTCATTCAAGTACATACCGGAACAATTGACCAAGTTTGGAGTGGCTGCAAAGCATTCATTCCAAAACAGCTAGGAAGCCAATCAGAATTGATTGAGGTTTACTTGCGCGCGTTCCAATGGAGGTATATCAATCGCCCCACTCTAATTCGCACGAAGACAATCCACCAGCTCAACTTGCTTCGAAAGTGAAGAAGAAAACAAAGTGCGCAGTCTGTGTTCTGATAGGTGTCATTGGGAAAACAACATTTTCAAAAAAAACTTGTACGGCACCACAGCGAGACGGAAAAAAAAAGTAAAACCACTCTAAATGCGCACTGATTTCGACATTTTTTGGACAAAAATGATGATGAATATACCACGCAGGCCACGTTCTGTCTTTCCCATTTTGATGCGATGACACATGTTATGCGGGCAGAGCCTATTCCAAACGATGTTAAATTTCACATAATTCTCGGACAAAATTGGATGAAAACACAAGCGAAATTTGTTTTTTTCAAAAACACCAGCCAAATTCCACATCATTTTGTGCATGCTACACAAAAATACTTCATTTTCCCACACGAAATACAAACGAAATACACTTGAAGTGGACCTGATGATAATGAAATTGTGCAAAGCGCACGTACGGAAAACGGCGCGACGGGTTTATTCAATGTTTTTGGCTCAGCTTGTGCTGCTATCGGTTGGTTTGTCACATGAAGAGACCAAAGACTGATGCTCTCCGTGCCAGATTTCTAGTTCACTCGGGGTGTTTTAGGTACCTTTTAGGCAGCTTTTGTGTGTATTCAGTCAACAAATTAGCCAAGACAACGGGGAAATGTCAGTCATTCCAACAATCTATTACTGGTTGGTCGTTTCACACATTTTTATTTTCCGTAATATATGGGATAAGCCTTCCCATTTACTATTTTTTTCAGAGGGGTTGAGACCACCAACCAGCATTAGCTTGAAATAACTTGGAATTTGATATTGGACACCCATTCATCCATGTATGACATTCATCCATCACTCATTATTTGGGAGGCTAAGTTGCATCCACATGGCAAGGGAACATCTCTCATGCATGGTGGCTGAAGGGTAACATATGTTTGTTTAAATATAGGTTGCTAAGAGGGAAATCTCCCATGTTCGGGAAATCATCCAAGAAAATTGGCCATGTCTGGAGCATGTTCCAATTGAAATATGGAATATGAATGAATATGACTTATCTCCCGCCAACTTCAGCAGTTGGAACTGTCAGGATTCTCCAGCGGCCGGAGCTCTTGGAAGTGGCGGAAAAGATGAAGGTGGGCCGCGCGGCGGGGCCATGGCGGGCCGGGCTGCATCGGTTTGGATGTTGAGATTTTTGGGATTTCGGATTTCTCTTCCAGAAAATCGTCAAGATCCTCCAGATGGAGAAAAGTATGGGCAATTCACGAAGGAATAGAATTGAACCAACCAGTGGATTTTAAGAAATTGGCAATGGGCAGATGGCTCGCAGGTTTGAAGATTTTGATCAGTGAATTCGAGATGGAATCGCCATTGAAAAAGGTGGGCATGAAAATCCTGAAGCTACAGGTGGGCATGAAAATCTTCAGGTGAGGTCCCCCAGTTATAAGTTGGTTTCTAACTCCATTATCTGTACTTGCAACTATATCCTCCATAAACCCTACAGCCAAGTTAAAAGTCAACTTAGCTATCAAAGGGGGGCCCCAGTTTGTAACATGCCCCGTAGACCTGTCCCCATCTCCTCAACAGCGGTAGGTACATGTTTCGTTTCAAGATATATTTGAACATTTTATATTAAATATGTTATAATATCAGTATCTGTGTCACGAAATAAACGTGAGATGAAGTATATAGATATATATTATATGATTTACGAAAATACAGTAAATCGCTTCTGGGTACGGAATTCCAGTAGCTGGGTGATGTTTGACGGAGCCATCACCACCCCTGCCCAACCACACACTACTTGGATGTCCAAAAGTTTTGGGATGTTGACCCTCAGTAAAAGCAAATGCATTCCCAAAGTTTTGAGCCACTTATAATTACAACTCCTATTGCTATAACACACGAAATATTTGCCCCAGTATTCCCAGTTATATTCGTCGGTTGCTATCATCACCATTTTGGATTTCCAATAAAAAATAACACCGTTGTGTAGCCAGTTTCAACTCCTAAAGCTTCTTTCTTAGGATCACCAAACACATCAAAAAACACATGCTTTGCCATCACCACTTCCATCGCAGGTGGCTCCGGATGCCTTGGCCTTGGCCGCCATTATGGCGCAACCCTTCGAACCCATGGTGCTCAGTGGTGCGGTCACTTCGCAGCAGCTGCGGAGTAACCTGAGGGCGTTGGAGCTCTGTGATCAATTGAAGGCCGGGCGGCACGTTGTGGTGCTGCATTTTAGAAGGGTGCCCCAGTTTGGAATCGCAAAGTTGTGGTAACTCCAAAATTTGTTGCGTTGCACCACCTTGTGGGGGGTCGAGCATCAAAAAACATGAGAATACAAGTATTAGGGGATTTGATGCTTTCTGTGGATGGATGACAGGGGGGTTCAACATACGAAATTTGGGAAGTTCACCATCTGAAAGTGGTTGATTGAAAATAGCGTATTATATCGTATTATCATGTCTTTCATGGATCTTGCGATTCAGTGATGCTTCCTCGCATATCTGGAAAGTTGGTTCCTGACCCATAACTTTGTCTCAGATTTCACCCGTTGAAACAAACATCGCGGGCTGGGAAAACTTCCAAACTAAAAGGGCATTTGAATAGAAGGGGTATTTTGCAATGGCATTATTGATGACTGGTGGGTATTTTTTCTTTTTAGAGGCACACTTTGATTCTTGCTGGGGTGATAAGTGGGGGTGAACTCATGTCAACCCTAATGAAATCATGCCCAAAAGTGCTGTAGATTGGATGGTAACAAACTTAAGCTTTTCCAACAGGCTATTCATGTGTGAAAGCTTCACATTTTGTGATGTGAAATTGGTATCCAAGCGGGGCCATGAAGTAGTCACCATTAGTCACCGCAGGGCCAGCTATTCAGCTCAGGATGGAGATGTCCTGACATCTTTGATGACTCAACTGCAGACAGATCCAGATGCTTACTGGAAAGAACGTTTCCAGGCTGAGTTGTTGTCTTTGATGTTTATGCCAGGTGGTTATTGGTTGGCTAATCTGATCGAACGCTTTCAGAATCTTACATATATATATATGAACAAATGTCAGTTTTATATATACACACTGTAATTATTCACCTTTACTTGCTGTTCATGTTATGCGTATTTGATGATGATGATGATGATGGTGATGATGATGATGACGATGACGATGATGACGATGATGGTGATGACGATGATGACGATGATCGTGGTGGTGATGGTGACAATAATGGTGATGGTGATGATGCTGATGATGATGATGATTATGATGACGATGACGACATCAACAATCGGGATGTATCCTACATACACATACATTTTTTCTCGGGGAGCTTCAAGTTGTCGTTTTTTTGTCGCTCTTGAAACTGATCCAAGGTTCGGGTCTTACGTGGAACTGAGAAGCTGACGCTTTTCCGCTTCGCAATTTTCGAACCCAAAATCCTTCTGTGATAGCACGAAAACAGGAGCGTTTTCTCTTGGAATTGCATGGTGATTTGGGGATAGATACACCATAAAAAACACCAAACTCCATTGGTTGAACATCCTGTTCCCTTGCAAAAATGGCTATTCGTTTCCCCTCGCCTTACAGGCCCACAGATGGACAACATAAACGCCCTGGGGCAAACCGGTGTTGTGTTGTTCGGTGTGGTTATCTCCATGATTCAAACTCACTTGTTTGTGTCTGAAAATGGAGTATATCCCTTAAACGGTCAATTTTGCAGGGAACAATGATGATCAGTTTCAGTTGACTTAGGATTACACTATTTACATACAAATTTGTTTAATGTTCTTTATAGATTGACAATTGATCAGGAACTGGAGGATGATGTAAATCAACGTGTATTTTAGGCATCTGATTCTTTTCTTGGTTGCATGGCTGTTGAGGAAATATTACAGGCTTGACAGGAGCACATACCACAGTAGTTGGCTACATTTCCCAAGTCTCGCACACATGGATTTTGGAAAATGTGCATCGTTTGCCGCCCCAAACATTGCCCAGTTCTGTAAAGGTAAATATTCGATTGGGTTGCCGGAAAATATGGTACCCATAAATTTGTTGTTTTATCGTATGTTCCCTGTTAAACAAATGCAGTTTGGGAAGAACCCGCATTTTCAACCACACCTCTGTCCTGTAATTGTTGGTTATAAGTTTTATCCCGTTATATATATATACACATACATATTACTATCTATATATATATATATAGGTATATATATTTATCTATATATACATATCACTTCTCACCATAAGATCCAACTAAATCCCATAGATATTCCGTTCATTCATCACCATAAATTCACATGAAGTCCCCTGAAAAATCCCATAGAATTCCCATGTTTTGCTTGTTGAGATCCAGCGAAGATTTCACCACGGCAAGGGCGATTCGGTGGACATGCTCATCCAGCATGCGAAGTGTGCCACTCAGAGCGTGGTTTCGCCAAAAAACTGGTGGAAACATGGAGGAAAAATGGTGGGAAGATGATGCCCAAAATGGTGGACCACTTACTGTAGATTTGTGTGTCGAACATGTGGTTCAAAGATGTTCAAAGCAAAATAAAACATGGTGGAAAATGGAAGGACAGCAATGTTGTAGCAATTTTCATGAACAAAAGGAGTTTTGAAACCTTGCTCTATGGACAAACCCAGATTTACTGTGTACCAGTTTTTCTACGTGAAGTGCCAAAATGTTTGCTGGTGCAACCTGCTGCATGACCCAACTGATACTAAGGATTTGCACTTGATCATGGGTCAAAAGCATTTGATTTGGGGTAGGGTTTGGGATGTGAAAAGTACAAAGTCAAATCTGTATCTCCATATACAGTATATATATATGTATATTATGCACCTATCGTTCTGTTTCTTCATGAAAACCCATTGACATCGAATTTAGATATTGTAGATATTTCCAGATATACCGATATATGTGTATATATATATATACCCTAGGAGTCCAAGCACTATTATTAATAAGGTCGTTCCTAGAACCACTATTTCCTACAACCCACTTTGTGGCAATACTTCACTTTTGCCATTCACGCGTGGTTCCAGTTCAGGCAGTTTTGGCAATCATTTTTTTGCCCGCGACATTGTGATCAGCGAAATCCACACTTTGTAAGCCTCAGAGAACAAACTAAGGCACATAGGTCATGTAAGATCAGGAAAATTACGATCAAACACGAAAACACTAAGTCAATTGCCATGCATAGATGCTCCGTTGATATGTTTTTCTGAAAAGATGCATGGCTGCTCTCTGTAAGATTGAGGAATATCATCATGGTTTTTTCTGCTAATAATCCATCATATCCAAGCAGCTGCGACATTTTATATTTCATAGCGACCAACCTGCGATAGTGACATCGATAGATCGTCATCACAAGTGATTGAACATGGTGGGTTTAATTTATGACATTGCTGGAGGAAGAAAAACCAATCATATCTTTGGCACCTTAATCGCTGGCACTTCAAAAGCCAGAGAGGCCGATATCTGGGATTTGCAAATTTGGCACAACCTCAGAGGAATGGCATGAATTGGACCTAAGTGTTGGCTTGGTTCTGTGGAGTGTCAAACAAGAACATCGACTATTTCACATAATTAAGTGCTAGTGACCTTTGGCCCACCGCATCGAATCCTCATCGCAATATGTATGCCAAAATCTTGGATTCTTTCCTCAGTGATTTGGTAGCTGCTTGAAGTGATGATCCTAGAGCAAAGATTGTAACCATGATCATCCAAACGAAAGTGGATTCAGGATTGGAGTTTAAATACGACCCCAATTGATCACTACAACTGTTCCCAGTATAAGTCGACTCCCAGGTTTTATGGCTATGTTGGAATGCTGGACTCCTAGGGCTATATGTGCTATACATAATATAGACTATACACCATGGCACCACTCCCACCAACGCTGCTTCAAGGGTCTTGTTCTGCGAACGTCGCGGCAAATGTGTAGGAACGCCTGAAGTCAGACAGTGAAGGGTAAACTCACAACACTTGATCATAATTTGAATCACCTGATCACCTAACAAAACCCCAAGGGAGGAAAATGTGGAAAACTTGATCAAACAAGACTGAGGCACATGTATTTTTGGTTTCATGAAAAATGTTGGCTTCTTCAGCCGGATGCTGATGTACCCCATGGTTTTGAATGTCCTTAGGAATCCACGTCCTTCTTCATAGATTTTTTGGGCCGCATCCTGTGTCCTTGTCTTGTTTGAAAAAGAATGTTGTCAAGATCTTATTTTCCATCAACTAACTTTCCCTAAAACCGACCATGTGTGGGGGAACATCCAAATTCAAACCCAAGGTGGTCATCGATAAAAACTATGATCTTAAAATTAACTAACCAAAGCAAGGATCAATTCTCTCGGATTGGCCTCACAAAGCCAGAAGAATCGAGCCATGCACTTCCTGAGAAACGCACTGTGCAGCATTTCGACCATTGGAGAGGACAGTCGCCAGGGAATCACAGCCCCAAATTCTGGGAAACATCAAGGCTAAGAAATCAATTGCTAATAATAAACTACATGGCAAAGTTTCAATGCATGGCAGGTCAAAGAAACTCGACCCTCATCATGGTCATCGGGAAATCCCCGAGCAGCTAGGGGCAGGGTTTCACTTAACCACGCGCAAATGACGCGACCATTCCAGGCCTTTGCATTCAAAGAAAACTCATCGTGGAATATCACCTCGGTAAGTGGGATCAGACGACCAGGGAGATTGGTTGAGGGATGAAAGATATATGTGCATCAGGTATGGAAGGCTTTTGTTTTCACAAATCATTCTTCATTAGTATAGTATTTATCCTTGGCTAAGCCAAATCGATCGACCCATGGAAATAAATAGTTGAACATGGTGAGATTACTAAATCACTACCAGGGAACCTTCCACTCTTTGAAAGGAGGTTGTGACTGGTCCATCTTGTTCGCCCGGCTGAACCCAACAAAGTCCTTGTACGCCTTGTCCAACTGTTGTTGAAAGGTGCCAGGGCCAAAGTACTCTAACTCTTGGCATAGCATTTGCCTCATTTCTTTTTCAACAACAAACGTTTTGTGGCAAACAGCATCTATATATGATATACTTTTGATGAAAATAAACTGATCATATAACTGATTTATCAATACCATATTGTCGTTCCATTCCCTAATGAATTGTGCAGAGCTAACTAGCCAATCTTGGCAGGACCTACTTGGATTCGATACTCATTGGTGAAAATTGTGTACCTTGGCAATCGTTGGGGCTGGGTGCAACAAAGAATCAAAGCTCCACCGTTCAAGGGCATCAAAAGACCCAGATTCACGACGTGCATGGTGCACCATTTGATGCATGTGACGTCGAACTTTTTCAGCTGGATGAGAGGGCCCCACATCAGGATTTAACCCGGTTAGGATCGAAGATGGGGTAGTTTGGGGCGCTATGCAAACCGACTTGATTGATCTAGCGATTTATCCTTAGGGTATCGAGTCCATAAGGGGGTGATTACGGAATGGACCAATGGCTGCAACAATTGATGGAAAATAAAAAGCCATGACATCCTCACTTGTTAGCAGAGATGCCCAACAACAAAATCAACCAAGACACACACATTTGTGGAAGGAAGCCTTTTGCAAATGAAATCCGTGGTGTCAAACTCCTCTTTTGCCCATGTGCTATTTTCATCGTCCATATTCCAGTAGATCAGACCCGGATCCCGAGCCCGGACCATAGCAGGGCAGCGGTAGCAAATCCCAACATTTACACCACCCTTCCATGAGCACTTGAACTGCCACACCAGCTTGTGGAACTCCCAATCTCCACGAAGCTCCACTACTTGGAACTGCAGTTTTTTATTGGTTATCCAGGTACCAGCGCGATCTTTCTCATGTGGTTCCAAAGGTCTGTTTCCAGGTCGAATCATTGGGTAGGTACCTTCATAGAGGCAGTTGAAAGACCATACCAGCCATCTCAGAATGGTGTTTAACGTCCTACTCTTGTAGAGCAGGGCCACATCGCAACTCCACAACAAAAACCGGGAGTACCGAATTGACTTTGGCCTGAAAATCACTACGTTCAACCATAGGCACAGGAGTTTTTCGTACCGCACCTTTGTGATCAACTGAGCTGCATCTCCGTAAAATCCTATGGGCACTCTGTGTCTCGAATCTTCACTGGCATATGGTTCCCCGCCGGCAAAGGCATTGTCCCAAAATTGATGGACAACAGCTGTTGGAATATCAAGCTGACATCCGTTGAACAGAAAAGCAATTATCGAATGGGGCATCAAGATGGGTTGCTCCTGCAACCTGTAGCCACATGGGATTTTTTCATCTGCCACCGGTACCCATACCTTTTCCACTTCCTTCTGTTGATCAAGACATTAATGGATGGAAAAAATGTTGGTAGCAACGCAATCCTAACCATCATTAAGTATTTCAACATGTTCAAACCCAATAATCGTGATTCTCTTGACATTCTGATCATTGAAGTGGAAAAAGTGTGAAACAGACAACATAGAATTCTAATGACACCAAGATTCTACTGGGATATCAGTCGCCCTCCAGAAATCCCGACTCTCATTCCCAGGAGGTTTCATCCCAAGCCGGGCTGTAGTAGGGTGGCAAGATTGAGGTCCACTTTCCTCAGATGGGCCACTACACTGGCGAAGATATTTCGTGATTGGAAATAATATGGGCATTCTGGAATGGATATAAGATTTGGTAACCTCAAGAATTCTATGCACAATCAACAGTGAATAAATATTTGCTGTTTGTACCCGAATTAAAATGTTCCTTTCTTAATTGGTCGCCACAGAAAGGATATCCAATTGAAACTTGGAACTTCAGTTGACCTTTAGGATTTCAAGGGTTGTTGTATCGGCAAACATCGTATCAATCAGCACCATTATTTTTCATAACCACATAGATCACCATCAACATCAACAACATCATCATCATGATCATGACATTATCACCATCACCATCATCATCATGATCATCATCACCATCATCATCACCATCATCATCATCATCATCATCATCATCGCCATGATCATCATCATCATCATCATCATCACCATCATCAACAACAACACCACCGCCATGATTACCACCATCATCATCATCATCAACATCATCATCATCATCATCAACAACAACACCACCGCCATGATTACCACCATCATCATCATCAACATCATCATCATCATCATCATCACCAACAACATCATCAACATCATCCTCTCATTCTCATCTGCATCTTCATCCTCATCCCATGCGAAGCCTGCTCGCTGCCAAGGCACCTGCACATGCGATCTGATCCGTTTCACAGCTTTGTAGATGGAGCTGGCCTCAGCGCAGCTATGGGGCACAAGGTGGATGGAGATAGACTTGAAAACAACCCCAAAAACTAGTAAAGAAACATGTGGTGTCCCTGGTGAGCTGGTGGTTTTCCAAACCGGACGAGCCGGAGCCAAAATAGTAAGAATATGAAAAGGGGAAAAGTTGTAGGCCCATGAAAAAATATAAAGCATCTTTGATAAAGGGTCTGATGAGGATGATACCGGTCACATAAATTGCTTACCCAAGGCACACCAGAACTCACATCCTCAATTGCATTCTGGATAGCCAAGTTCTGGGTTTTCTCCAGGGGAAAATCTCCTGAGTGGGAATGGAGGCTGGGAGATTCACCATATGTATTTCTGATGAATCTTCAAATTGACGAATTCAAACCATATCAATATAAATATGTGATCAAAATATTGGCAGCATTTTTTTGATCTTTCAAGGCGCTTGACTCTGGTGAACCTACTGCACTTGTATGCATTCACACAAGATCCAAAAGGGTCGGCCCACAAATTTGGCCAGTATTTGGAGCGTTCGACTTTGTCAAAATTCACGGGGCCCTTTGGGGACACCATGAGCTCATGGATGTTGGTTCTCAAAAGAGGCATAGAAACCCTGTTGATTTTCAAAATGTTCCATACAGTTTCTTGGCCCGTTCCCAAAGCCTCGCTTGGCATGGCACCGTGCCCGGCATCCCCAAGATAACTTGGTGACTTCGCACGGTTATCTATATGCCAGGTTCTAATGGTGACAATCACCAACCCGAAGCAACCACAAAAGGTCGAACCACATGATCACTTCATGTTGTTACTTTGGAGAAAATCCAAAAAATCCTTCACTGCATCGTCCCCCTCACTTTCAGGCGTTGCCAGCAAGGTCAGGTCACCAGAACCCTGCCCAAGTCGCAAATAGTGGCCATGGAAACCCTAATTTAGTGGTCCCGCAAGATTTGAAGCTAGTACTGCATGATTGTGCTCACATAGGTTAGAATCTTTACATTTCAACACATATAATATACTTGGGTTGACCTTTGGTCGATGAAACATATTTGAAAGCCCTGTCAGCACTAACAGTTGGAGAAGCAAACCACCAAAATATATATCGGATGATTTTCCCTAGAATATATCGGGATGTCTCAAAATAGGGGTGCCTAAATTGGGGCCTCAAACCTTTTTTGTTGTTAAACACACAAATTGGCCCCCCTCGATTTTGAGACATTCCTATAAATATCTCGGAGGATTCTTGTCAATACCTGCCCCGCCTTCACACTGTCAATAACCTTCAACAAGGCGTCACGCTTCTTCCCCAACAAGTGCTTGTGCGGCGACAGCTCGCCCAGGAATACCTTCTTCAAAGCTGCGGACCTGATGGATGGCTTGATGGATGGCCGTGGGCTGCCCAGAGACGATCTCACACAGAACTGGGACGATTACGGTTGTGAACTATAAGGGTTAAAACTGAAATTGATTCGAATCACAAAGATGCTCTTTTTTCCAACCTGCCCTGTGGTGCCATTGCATCGAAGTTCAAGTAGATACATGGTAGCAAACATGCATGTGCAGCCGGCATCAAGATAAGTATAATATACATCCGACATCATCAGACACTTTTTATGAACAGAAAGACTATTCTGGTCATTGACGTGGCTTCCTAAACTGTCCCGAAATTTAAATTTTGTTGCCCATCACCGGCAAACCCCGTGTTGAGGCTGCCACATCCCTCCAGCTTTGACTTCGACCAAAGAGGCCTTCGCCAGGGCACTCTGCAGCTTCGAGACGACCTGGCCAGCAGGGCAATTCAAATCCCCCTATATTTTCTAGATAAGATTTTACTCAGTGGGGGGATAATGGACTAATTTCCAAGACTAGTCCGGGGTGTAGTTTATCGTGTCACTAACATCATGTAGCGCAATAGTGAGAAGATACCATTTCAAGCGAAGTGGGCATGCATGCATATGTCGGCCTTGTTGGCCGTTGCGATCCGTTTCTTTTTTGCTTCCTTTGCCTTGGCTTCCAACTCCTTCTGCTCGCGCTTTGCTTTATCCTCTTGTGTTTCCTCCTTAGATTCCGTTGCCCTTCCTTTCTTGTCCTTTTTACCCTTCCTACCCTTCGATGACGACGATGACGACGAACCAGACGATTCTGACTTCTTCTTCTTCTTGTCTTTTGACTTCTTCGCCTTTGCCTTTTTCTTTTTCTTCTGGTCTTTCTTGCCCTTCTTTTCCTAATGTTGCATTGGATGAGGCATCATGGAAAGAATTACGGAGATCGAGACATCAGCACATCGGTCCAGCAAAAAAAGATATCACACAGTTTTGAAGCATGATGCCTAGAGAGAATCCTACAGAAGTTTCGGACATATGGATTTTTTTGTCAACTACAATTCAATTCAAGATTCAGAGGTTGAATCAGAATCACTGCTACCGTCATCATCATCATTGTCCGAGCTGGATGAAGAAGAAGCGGTCCGCTTCTTCCCCTTAGCCTTCGCCTTTCTTCCCTTGCGTTTCTTGTTGGTCTTGGTCTTGGTCCCTTTGTCATCCTTGTCGATCTGCTCAAAAAAGGAACTGGTGATTGTGTCAGTTGTGTCCTCTTCTGCATCCACGTCCCATACCAGGTATTGCCAACATTCCTTGGCAGAAAGGTTCAGGATGACTGCTAACAAAGGTTACCCTTGAGAACTTCAAGGTCTGAACTTTGCTGATCTTATAAATGCTGATGTTGTTAGGTTATGGGATGAACAATGGTTTAACATCACTCCTGTTGATTGGATATGTGTTGATTCAAAAAACAGCCTAGTGTCTCTATCTCCCGGTGCATCGGGATGATCTCTCACTTGCAGCTTCTTCACTTCAGGGTCCGAAAGTTTGCTGGCTACTATCTTTGCTGCAATACGGGCCGAATTGTATGTGAGCCCCAACTCCGACTCAGTCATCCACTTCCTTGCCCCCCGCCGGCGGTGGGTATGTGACACCTTGAGCTGTTGGTACAGGCTGGACTCCTTCCAGTGTCCATCGCAGATCATCCACTGCTCGAAGAGGACTTGCAACTTTTCACTGCCTGGGCACGGTTGCCGGGAGTATTAAACCAGTGGTATACAGGACCCCCAAATATAAACAGTATCTCAAGTTCCAATGCAAATTTTGAAGGATGCTGAAATTCAGAATAATGCTTGGGTGGAACCGAAGAAGCGAGCTGATCTTCAGGTACTATATGTTTCAAGATAGATTGGAGAATTTCTTGAAGGTAGCATTTTTCAACTTCTGTTTGAAAGTAGCAGCATGAATTCATGCAATTCTTTTTGGTTTGTGCAAGTCAAGGATTGGAAATGGCCCATGTAGTGGAAGGACAATTTGGATCAAATTGTTACGACCCCTCATCATCAAAACTGCCAGAAAAAGTTTTGGGTGGGATATAGTTGTAACCCAGTCACATCTGTGCGCAGACTGTCCCGCTGCTTTGATCTCTTTTGGGCAACCTGGGCTGAAGCAAGGACGACAAGCCCCAGAATCAGAAGACTATAATATGGGAATGTCTCAAAATAGGTGCCCTTTTTTCCCCATTCAAAAATACATTTTTGGACCAGAAAAGGCACAATTTCCTAGACATTCCCATATAGATTTGAGAAGTGGATGGGGAAATCATATAATTGCCAGTACATGTTCATAACCTCATCTCATGATCGAAAATGACATCCAATCTCTAGAAGAACATGAAAACCCCCCAGCTGAAAATAATCATGTAGACAAGAAACCCTTTGATTTCATGCTACGCGAGAACCTCATGTATCTTGCATGGGCCGCTTTGCGATCTAGCACTTGTTGTAGCGAATGCTCAGCATCACCTCCTCCATCATCTCCTGGAGGATCTGACGGTGCCCCTGCAGCCTTGCAGCATCCAGCATCTTCGGCACTGGAGGCGGACTCGCTGTCACTGCCAGGGGAAGGTGGTGCAAGCTCAAGTGTGGTTTGCCTAGTCAAGGCATGCGCAACAGCATCAGCAGTAGCTGGCACAGGACTCTCCAACTTTGGACTGGGATTTCTGGGGGCGGCCTTTGGGGCAGCCTTGCTCTTGGACTTGACCTCTTTGGAACTACCAGATTTAGCTTTCGCCTTCACAGCTGTTTTCACAACCTTCTTTGGTGGCTTTCTGTCTTCACCAGGGCTGTAGTGCAGTGTAGGTGATCGTTTCATCAGTTCTCGACTCTGGACATGCCGGGAAAGCTTTGGGGCAGATTCAGCGGTATCAGAACGCTTGATTTTGATTTCGGGCTTTGGGGTGACTATGGTGGGAGACCCTGCATCATCACCCTTCTCACCGTTCTCCTTTGGACTTTTGCGCTTCTTCCTAGACCCATCACTGGCAGGCACCGTAGGTGCAGGTGAGTCTTCATTGGCTCCTGTGGAACAGCCGATAAGAGATTTGTAAAAAACAACTATTTTTTGGAAGCAATTGAGGCCCATACTGGATACAAGACATCCTGTATCCAAATCCGACAATGTACTTTACCGATTTTAGCAACATAATTTACCAGAGGTACACCTATCCCTGAAACAACCCACGGCCCTAGCAAAGAGCACCTTCTTGGGCCATCTTCAAATCACGGACTTTGGCTTCCAAGGATTTATCCGAAGCAGGGTTGGCCTTCTCGCTCCTAGCGTAGTTGATGGATGCATGTGGCTGAAGGTAGAACAAACCAATTGTGGAGTTTTGTAGGATCGATCCATTCTATATTTAACGAAGATCAAGACCAATCAAAATCATCAACCAAATCCCAAACAATATGAATTTTGGAGAGATTTGAATGGGAAACCCCTGAACCCAAAGAAACTTAACTTAACCAACCCCGGACTACCAGTACCAGATTCGACTATGAAACCCGCCTGGATGACTCCTTTGCTTTCTCCAATGCTTCAGACTTCTTTTGGCTAGGATGATGTGGGGCTGGGTAGTCTTGTAGACCCGCGTCGCCCTCTGCTACGCGGGCAGCCCTATTGGCTGCCTTTTCCAGCGCTGCAGATATCCTATCTGACACCATTTCTGAATCTGTTGGTCCGCAATGGCTATGAAAAGAGATCCTAATCAGCAATATTCCCAAAACACAATCACTACTGGAACAGCGTGGTATGAACGGAGCAGATTTCATTTTTTTGACAAAAATGATAAAAAAAACATGGTTTTTTGCATGAATAGTCGTTCACGCTTAAAAATGGTGGTTCACGCTTAAAAATGGTCGTTCACGCTTCATTCACGCTCATTCACGCTCCATTCACGCACCCCCCTTGTTCAGTTTTCAACCATTCTGAACCTCTTCAGAATTGATCGTCGCAGGCAACAGCGGCAAATTCTGCATGAACGCGGTGATCCCAGTTTTTCCTTTATTGGCTGATATCCGCTGGAACATATGCTGTGGCACCATCACTGGGAAACTAATAGACAAATTTCAGATTCTTTTGTGATATGTAATATATTATAAATATTGGCTATTAATTGTGATGGTTTCAATGTAATACAATGGAACCCAATGGAAATCAATATCGCCTCAGCTTGGGCCATCGGGGCACTTCAAAGTTGACGTCAATTACTAATTTACCAGTCAGGTGGCTCCAGGACTGCCTAAATATTTAGTCCAAGTCAAGTCCACCACTGAATTGAGGGTAAAAGCGTTTTGCTTTCACCTCTGACTCAAGGAAAAGTTTGACATCTCTCAGGGACGCGTGTCGCCACTGATATGGGGCCTCCGCTACATGTGTTGATCACATGTGACTGAACAAATGGATGGGTCACCTTGGGATTTTTTGACCCCCAAAAAATACCACTGCCAGTGGTAATTTTCTGGGATGGTTTTTGTCCGGGCAAACAAACTGAGTTTGGAACCCATATATTTTTTGAAATCCCATTTTAAGGAGAAATTCTATCTTAATTTACAGTTTGTGTGGGGATAGATCTTATTTGGTTGCATGTGCCATCAAGACCTCTCCTGGCCTGGTGCACCTTTCCGCTCCCGAGGTCAAGTGCATGGAGGGCATCGCCATGAGAGTTGTCCTTTTGGTCCTGTCCAGCAGCCAAGATGAGGGGCAAGCTGTCAGGGGCATGCGTGGACAAGGCAATTGAATCAAAAACATGTTTATTTCGTCTCTGTAACAGGGTAGTACGGGAACATAGTATATAATTTATAAAGTATTTGAGATCAGCGCAGACTCTGAGTCTAGGGCTAGGAATTTTCGGTAGTTCTGAGCCATGGCAATGCCATATACCTGGGGGTATGATATACCTGTGAAGCTCGCAGGCCCGAGGCACCAGACCTAAGCGCCACCACTAACAGTTGGAGATTTCATTCATGCTAGGAACTACCAGGCATCAAGTATTCGCTGTAAATGACACCCATGTATCTAAGATGGAGACACTTGTTTTTTCCCTGAGGATTTGCTAATGGTCTTGCGAACCATGGGATTCTTGGACTCAGCTTGTTTCGCCCGCAGCTTGGCTCGCAAGCGCTTCGAGGTCTTTTTCGCTATCTTCTTCATGAAGGGCCTGGGCTGGGCCACTGACGAAGGTGGCCAGCAAAGGGGGAATCATCTAATTGCAGCAGTTCTTATTGCTTATATAGTTTGCATTATATTAAAATTGCTTTATTCATCCAAGGCCCCAACAAGGTTCCAAAGAGCTGCGTTGGTTTCAAGGTTGGGGCGCCCCATGCGCCCATGTTACTAGGCGAGCAGGATCAGAAATGAAGCGCATAAGTCCCATAAGCATTGGAAATTTTGATGTGTTGAGAATCAAGCAGCTCATATTCATAGAGATGAGCCCCTGACAATCGAACCAGGGACCACGGAAAGAACTTGGACACAATCTTCTTGAAGAAGACCAAATATGGAAAGCATGGCATCACTGAACTTCCAGGTTGTTCGGCACCCACAAACACATATCTGACTGTTGCTAAAATCCATAAGAGCACCATCCGAGTTGTTATCCTTAGATTCTGGGAATCCAGTCATCATGGGTGCAAAAATCAGGAAAGTGATGCTTCCAATTTGATGTGTTCAGTAGGCTATAACAGGGAAACTAATTCCATCAAGATTCACATTTGCAATCCTCACGTAGGATCGCAGTGAAGCCCATCCAAGTGGACGATCTTTTCTACGTCCAGACGTGTGCATGTTTATAAACACGAAGCTTCCGCATGGTGGCCCGCAGATCATCACTGCCTTCTCTTTGAGCTTCAACGTGAGGAGCACTGCCCGTAGAAACCCTGGCCTGGGCGAGGGTTGGGTATAGGATTGGATAGACTCCCCAAGAAAGTGCACATTCATTTTATTCATTCAGGCCCCAACACTGACGTGATATCGCCATCATTTCCTTGAAGGACTTTGTCAAAAGTTGACCTAAGAATAAGTTGGGTCAGCAGGCTCACAAGAAACATACCCAAGATTTGCATTCTTGATTCACATATTCTATCTTTGCTCCATGGTTTGAATCTGTCATTATCAAGATCAGTCCTGAACTCAGCTAGGAACGCTTTGAATCCTTCCTGCCCTCAGCGTGGCAGCGTTTGTTTTGCGAAAGTACTAGTGGGAACCAATCAACCCCCATCAATGGCTGAGCTATGGGCTGAAACCGTTAGACACTGCGGCCATTCCCGCAAAAAGGTCCAAAGCATCAGTGTCCTAGGCAGTTTGCTTGGTAGATGATTCAAAAACATGCCAAGACATGAATCTCGACATGCTCATCCGCATATTTGGTGTGTTCTGAGAACCAAACACGCCGGTCCAAGGGTGTCCCTTCAATCTGCTGGCATACATAGTCGCAGGCATGCAGCCTCACAAAGGTTTGTACTCCAATTCTCACCCCAATGTGAACTTGATTTGGAACCAATGCATGCCAGTAGCAAAATAAGTGGTGCCCCAAAGAACAAAATGGCTTGGGTAGCCCTTTTTGACAGCGCAACTCTGGCCACCATTTGGCAGACCGGTGCCAAAGCCAATCCCTTAAGCTCACACTTGATCAATGTCAAAAGGCTGCATTATAATCACCATGTATCACCATGCAGCTGGTGTGCATAAGTTGAATCATCTTCAAGCTGCATGTAGCTGTTGACACGAGCATACAAGTTAGATGAGCACGCACGTACTGAACTACTGAACACTGAACATATATATTTTTTCACCTGCTCCGCCCCTGATTTATCCAGAATTTTGTAGTCCTGGTTTCTTCGCCAGGACAAGACGATCTAATCTGCCACATCCATGTGATGAGGACCACACGGGTCGGACAGCTGCGGCCACATGGTGTTTTGGCGCCCCCCAAAAAAGGCCACAATCAGATTGAGGGTGGAATGGAAGAGTTTAAAGCCACTATTCAATTCAATTGAACATTGGACGGGCACCAAACCATGTCCCATCCCCAAATCATAACTGAAGCATGACACAGTCCTTTAGTACAACCGATGCCACCCAGCGATCAGCTTGGCATACTCCCATCTCAGTGGCGAATCGTTTGAGATTGATAATTCAAAAAAAAATGGGTCATTTCAATGCCAAAGGAAACACTTGAGATTCCGACGCTTTGGCAACCCCTCCATGCTTGCTCCATCCAATGGAGACTCCGCCCTGTTTGTTTACCTAACAAGCCAATGGTGCAGTACTTGCAACATAATTTTATGATCATTGCACCAGCCATAATATATTTATTATTCCATATTAAATTCCACCCAGCTGCATGGAAAGTTGTACCTGAGCGCATGTTGACCCGTTCCACCCTCTTCTCATTCGCCGGGCAGATGTAGAAGCTGCTGCGGTCGAACCTGAAAGGGAGTGGGACCAAGATCAAACCCATGTTGATCAATCTAATCAAAATGACTTACGTTCTGAGTCTCATGGACATGACATGCCGATTTACAGCAAGAATCCCGATGGATGACAGATCTGATCAAGATTTATCAAGTCACTATGGCCTCACTACGAATTAGAACCACCTGATATCCCAAATTCAATTTAAAATTTAAGAGCCTTTTTGGGCAGTGTTTCCCACCAAGGGCCCCCACGAAGGTGCGATGGAAGGCAATTTTCCATCTTCTTTCAGGGCTGAATCTTCAAGTTCCAGAGGGGGACGCAAACTGTAGGACCTCGTGCAATGGCTGGAGACCCTGATAGGGAGGTCAAGATGTCGGGATTTTTTAATATGATAAATGTCATTTTTCTTGTTTCCCTACCTACTCGATGAACCTTGTTTTAATACGGGAATGTCTCAAAATAGGGGTGCGCGAAACTTGTTTGTTTTAAATTAAAAAGCAAAGTTTTGCGCACCCCTCTTTTGAGATATTGCTTGGAAACCCGAAAGCTGATGATAGGTGATGGGGATAGATGATCCTCTACCCTTGCATCCGCCCGCATGCATCTCCACGGGATTTTTTTGTTTTAAAATGGTACCACCATCCCACAATATCCCACGTATAACATCAACTCTACTCCTCCCCGGTCTGGGGCCATGACTTGGACTCGGTGGCGGTAAAGAACTGAGTAAGTTGGCAGCACTGCCGGTCAGCTTTCAGGACCTCCGCAAACTGGATCTTGTGCGCCTCCTGAGCGTGATGAGCAACTTGCGCAAGTTCAGATGTTTGGGTCGGCGTTTGTACAGGGTAGCATACCAAAGAGTGAAAGGGAATATAACTCCCCAAAATAGGGCAAAGATTAGCAAAGGGGTTTTGAAGCCATCAAGATTATTTTTTGATCGGAACTTGCTGGCTGAATGAGCCTCGGTGGGGCCAATATGCGCCGATCAAGTGATATCTTGAAGGAGTATATCGATCACATAACATTGATACGATAGACTATTTAGATTCTAGAATATGCATGTTTAATTCATCCACCACAATGGGCAATGCAGAAGTTGGAGGACACCAAGAATAATAAATCATTCCTCGTAAGTGTACTGAACCTATATGAACATGTTTCATCTACGCTGCATGATAAATGTTAAATACAATATCACCCATGGGTCTACTACTTGTGGCATATCCGCATCTTTGATGGATAACCT